TATATAAGGAAAATTTGAAAGTTAGGGGGGGGGGCGGCTCGAGCACCCCCCTGCCCCTACCTGGCTACGCCCATGTACAGGTGCTATAATGGGTCAAAGGTCAGATCTTCGAAAAATTAAACACTTAATATTTCAGAAAATTTTGAACTGATTTTTTAAAAATTTGTATCGTTGTAATGTTGATTTAACCCCCTTTCTTGTGATATGCATATTTGTATACTTCGTATATAAAAATTTTAGAAAACACATTTAAATGAAAAAAATAACGCTTTTTTTGTATAAAAAAAATATTTTAAACAAACAAATTGCTAATCGATTTTTATGGTATCGTTGTAAAGGCGATTAAACCCCCTTTCTTCTTATATGCATATTTGTATACTTCGTGAATAATAATTTGAGAAAAAAACACTTAAGAGGAAAAAATAACTTTTTTTTATAAAAAAAAAATTTAAGCAAAAAAATTACTCACCGATTTAAAAAACATTGGCATCGTTGTTAAGGCGATGTTTGTATACTTCGTATATACAAATTTGAGAAAGAACACTTAAAAGGAAAAAAAATACCAATTTTTTCTTTTAAAAAAATGTACAGAAAAATTACTAATTAGTAATACAATTGAATACCGTATTTAAATAAAACGAATAATTATTAGTGTTTTAAGCATTAATTCGTTCTTGTTCACACACAGCCCTGTTAAAAATAAAGCAAAAGTATATGTAACAGAAGTCTAAGGAATATAAAAATATAAAAACACCATGGTTTTTGATTTTTCACATAACAGGTTATATATGAAAATGAAAGGTAATTTTCTGTTTTATTTAAATAAAGTATTAAACTGTATTACTAACTAGTAATTTTTTTGTTTAAAATATTTTTTATAAGAAAAAATTGGTATTTTTTCCTTTTAAGTGTTTTTTTTTTCAAATTTTCAAATACGAAGTATACAAATATGCCTATCAGAAGGAAGGGGGTTTAATCGCCTTCACAACGGTATCAATTGTTAAAAAATCGGTTGGTAATTTTCTTGTTTAAAATATTTTTTTTTTTATAAAAAAAGTTATTTTTTCCTTTAAATGTGGGTTTTCTCAAATTTTTATATACGAAGTATACAAACATGCATTTCAGAAGAAAGGGGCTTAATCGCCTTTATAGCGATATAAAAAAAGGTATTTTTTCCTTTAAATGTTTTTTTTAAATTCTTATATACGAGGTATACAAATATGCATATCAAAAGAATGGGGGTTTAATCGCCTTTATAACGATACCAACCTTTTAAAAGTCGGCTAATAAATTTTTAAAAAATTTTTTTTTTTATTAAAAAAGGTATTTTTTCCTTTAAATGTGTTTTTTCTCAATTGTTCATATACGCAGTATACAAATATGCATATCAGAAGAAAGGGGATTTAATTGTCTTTACAACAATACAAATTGTTTAAAAATTTGTTAATCATTTTTTTGTTTAAAATATTTTTTCATTTAAATATGTTTTTTCTAAAATTTTTATATGCGCAGTATACAAATATGCATATCGGAAGAAAGGGGGTTTAATCACCTTAACGATATCAATTTTTTAAAAATCAGTTCAAAATTGTTTGCAATATAAGGAATATAAATTTTCGAAGACCTGAACTTTGACCTCTTATAACACCTGTAATATAAATTTGCACAAAAAAAGTTATATACCATTTAAATAAGAGAAAAGGAGGACTACGTCTATATTTTTAGGTTTTTAGTTATTTACATGCAATAATTAAATATAATTTTTTACCAAAGGTCCTATTTCGAACTTCGAAGGTCCATATCTCGATTTCGGAGGTCAACTTCGAAAAACGGAGAAGTCACTGTTTTACCTATGACTCAAGCTCTTAACAAAAATTGGTTTGGTCCAATACCCAGAAAAATAGTTGATTTTGCCGTACAGTGTAACAAAAACACAATTTTTGTGAATAGTTCTTGCGAATAATGCTTTTCGTGGTTGAAAGGACTTCATCGCCGGCAGGAACTAATCAACTTCTGTGCCAAAGCCACAGAGAACGGAAAGCAAAAATAGTTGTTCATCAAAGATGTGTCTGAAATATCGTTATCGTTGTGTTTTTTAACTTAATTGTTAGATTGTTGCTCTTTGTGGTAAATTTTCGTTTCGCTTAATATAATATTTTTAAATCTTCAAAGACTATTTTTAAGTCTTGAGACTTATATTATAAAAGTCTTTTCATAATAATTATGAGTGCGAAACAATTTTTTAAGTCTTAAAAGACGGGGCTTGTTCAGGACCCTTTCGGTATTAGGTGGGGCCAGTTCGAGGCTAGTTGGCGACCAGTTCGGGAATAGTTCTCCCCAACTAGCCCCGAAGTAATCCCGAAGTGACCACAAACTAATTCCGAAATAGTCCTGAACAGGCCCCGTCTTTTGAGACTTAAAGAATTTTTTCGCTCTCATAATTATTATGAATAGACTTTCATAATATAAGTCTAAAACTAAAAGTCTTTGAAGACTTAAAAATATATATCTCGTTGATAATTATTACGAAAAGACTTTTATTATATAAGTCTTAAAATAATAGTTATCGATGACTTAAAAAAAATTTCCTAAAACACATAATTATTATTTAAAGACTTTTATAATTCTTACGAAAATTTTGATGACATTTTTAAAACTCCACCATGAAATAATTATTATTCTGGGTCTCTTGTTAAGAGAAACAAATGGCAGAATATGTGTTTGTGTATACATTCATTTGTCAGTGCTACCAAACCGTGCAGCAAATTATCAGTAAGCAAAAAAAATTATATTTTAAAAAACCAAAACCTCGCCATTATAATTTCCATTCGTACTGTCATCAGGTATGTAACTTGAGAACAGAAATCGCTGCATCTTTCAGGCGCATAAATATTACATAGTTACATGCTGACCTAATAAAAGGGAGTTAAAATAAAAACAAGCACAGCGGATCATCAATTGAATCAGATCTCTATCAGGATCATATCGTTATTGCATTTGCGTGCAAATTTTTTATCCGGATCCCGATCATTGCTAACGGACAGCAATTATAATTATGTTTTACTGATTACCGTCGCATATTTATTAAGTTAGGCCAATAAGCACCGAAGGTGTTATTTTTTACAAAATTAGCATCGTTGTACAGGTATTAGAATACGTTTCGCTTGATATGCATATCTATACTTATCTCATATATAAAACACCCCTATGCTGTAATCCGTCATAGATTCGATTTTGCTACGAATCCTAAAATTGGTATGCTGAAATCCGCGTTGTCGTATCGTAATTTCGAAATTCGTAGGCCATCTTTGAAATTCGTAATGTTGGTACATGATTCAATAATAAAAGGTTCTCGCTCCCTCTTGACAAAATCGGCTCCCTTAGCAAGGCACTATATGTGGGTTCGTGTGGGTGTGCAAAGCGTTTGTAAGGGAGCTAAGGGAGTGTCAAAACTCTAATGTCAATAATGAGAAAACCTTTAATTATTGAATCATGATGTTGGTATGCCTGAATCCGACGTAGCTGTCATTTTTATGTATTTGTCGGAAATTTTGTACGAAGAGCAACTCGTGTCGGAGCGAAACAAATTGTTTTAAAATATCAATAAAATAAAGTGTGTAAACGCAAAAATATGTATGTTAGTTGAAGTGTGAATAGAAAAAAACTTATTGTTAAATGTTTACAAAATTAACGGATCGAAGATCACAATAAATCGCTCGCAATACGAAAAACTGGTGGAATGCATGAGCGAAAGGCCGGACATTGGTCGAGGCTTTGTAAAAGGAGCTTAAGGGGATGTGGTGGAACTTTGGGAAAGCATTTCAAGAATTAAAGCGGCACAATATCTAGTGAAATGGAGGCCCTTAAAAGGAGGGAGCTTACATTTTATCATTTAAGCTAAATGGATCAGAACAGTCTCCTAGCAATCTCCTTTGTATATTAATGCAACTGTTAGCTGGTCATCCTCCTGGGACAAAAGTGTACCGGCCACTGAATCCCTTGTATTCTACTTAACTAAGGAAAAGTATTTTCAAATAATGATTGAACTAATTTTCACTTGCTATTTTGATTTGTTTCTGTCAAAGCAGCTGATTAAGATCTTCGAATTTCACTATTTTAGTTGGCAACGCCGTTGATAGTTACAGCATACCAATTTTCGAATTTTCGGAACGGAGCTACGAATTCGTAGCTACAAACTTTCGGATTACAGCATACGGGTGAAAATCTCGTGTTACGGTGTTAGTGGTCGAACTCCTCCTAAACGGCTTGACCGAAAATACGTAGCACCGTCGAAAAAAGCTTGCCAAAAATTAACGGTAAGTCAAAGCTTTTGTAAAAAATTGTTTGGAGTAAACATCTCGAGAAAAGATATCCTACAAATCTGTGGTGTTACTATAAGAATCCTGTTTCCGGGCTAATACATACATCTAAGATCATTTAAGAAGGTATTAAGATCTGTTAGCTTTTATAGAAAAAATTTGCAAAATTATTGTTTGTCCCGTATTCGGCTCGCATAAATATGGTCACCATACATATAGCACGCATACAATTTATTATTCAGATATGAATTTAGGGTTATAGCGCAAAAACACATATCTGAGTAATCTGTAATGTTAAAGTGAACCTATTTCGATAATTTTAATTTACACAATTTTAGTAAAAATAACTTCAAAACTGAGGCAGTAGTTATTTATAAAATAGTTAAAATTTATTGAAATTTTCAAGCACCGTTATCTCGGAAACCGGAGCCAATCTGGTAAAACGGATTGAATTTAGAACGTCCCAATTAAGTGAGTTCAACTTTCAAAATCGTTGCTCAACATTTAAAATTAGCACAGCGTAGTTTGAACCCAGTTAATTCTTTTGTTTTCTATTTCAGCGAGCTAGTAAATGTTTATTCCTCGTCTAACTTTCGAAGCACTTGATGAAAATCAATTACACTTATATTTATCGATTTATTAAGAGATTACGAATAGAATCATAAATAAAACATATGCCCATATATATTTTTATTTTTCCTATAATCAAACATTTATAATTTTAATTTATACGTTACATTTTTTGTGCATAAGTGCCTAGCAGTGTGCGCAGTCACTCCATCTTATTGGAACCACAAATTAGGATGCTGCTCTGCCGTTGGTCGCAAAAAGTAATTATTATTCTGTAAGAAGCCCCAGAAATTCATTTTGGAAGAAATATGGGCCGATAACTTTTTCGGCCATATCACCGCACCAAACAGTGCATCTGGATGGGTGTAACTAGTGCTGGTGTGTTGCCCTTGGTCTTTCAGAGCCCCACAATCTACAGTTTTGCTTGGAAATACGCTTCATCCGACATCAGAACATTACCTAAAAAATCAATTTGTGTGGCTAATTGTGTAAAACGAATAGCGTATTGTAGTCGTTGTTGGTGGTCTTGTAGTAAGTATCCATTATGATATTCCAAGAGTTTAACTATAACATGCAGAAAGAAAATAACAATAATATTAAAAAATAAAGAAGTTATACGTGTTTAACATTGATAGGTATTATTTGGGCTACCCTGTATTTTGCAAAGTAAGGGCCGTTTTCTCAAGTAACCTGTAACTTTAAAGCTCACTTAACTCACTCACAACTCACTCACTTATTTAAAGGTTGCATTACAATATAGTATTGTGTCTAAAGTAAAACCTTTTATTATCGGTTTTAAATTGGTTTAGAACCAAGAAACATACATACGTCAAAACCGATAATAGAAATGCCTAGCTTTAGACACGGCTTTATTTTTAATCCAACCTTTAAATATAAAGTGGGCTTAAAAATTAGAGGTTACTTCAGAAAACGGCCTAAAGTATAATAAATAGTAATTAATATGTTACATTTGTATCTGTACACTCTAAAAAGTGCATGTAAAACTACTACTGAAAAGTGTATATTTTTCAACCAGAATCTGTATAAATATACGCATAAGATGTTCAAGACTTGATTTTCAACATGAGATCTTTAAAAAATTTGAAACTAAAAATACAATTCGTAATAATAATAAACATTAGGGGCTCATATTTACTCTATTTTAGACACTTTGTGTGTAATTTTACTCTACGCGACAAATTTGGTATGTAAAAGTAAAAAGGAATGTGTTTAATTTTTTTAAAAGAGGAAACTGGTTACCTCTCTTAATATGCGCAAATTTAAACAAACATTTTTTAGAGTGTATATAAAGTCTTTTCAGTAGAATTCATATACAATTCCTTTAATAAATCACATTTAAACATTGTATTTTAAACTACATTGAGATCTTTTTTCTTTTAAATTAACAAATGAAAATGTAAAGAGATTGTTCCAGAATAAGTATGTATTTACTTTATATATGTATATTATGATCTTGTTTAAAGCATCCATTTTAGCTAATTAAAACTAATTAAAAAAATTGCACATACCTATTTTGGTGAGATCTCTTCATATGTTCATTGCTTCGTTCACAAAAAAAATGCTTTAATTTCACACTTTAGTAGGGATTTTTAATACATTCAGAAAACATAATGTTTTCTACCATCTTTAATGAAAAATTTTATAGAAAATATACATTTTTGGCCTATTTAAAAAAGTATCCACATTTATAATGAGCGGAAAAAATAAGTATCCAATCGGATCTATTTAGATCCCAACGGCATTCCTTATTGTGCATATAATTTGTTGCTGTAATATTTGTTTTGCTCAACCGATACCACCTGTATGCAGCGAAAAATGGCAAAAGTAACCGAACCAAAACAAAATGTATATGGCAGTTTTTTTAAGATTGATAAATTCATCCTCTGTAATGGTATACTTCCGTTAAAATCTGTGCAGATTATGAAATTTCTTTTATGCTATTAACAAAAAATTATTTGATGTGTTTTAATTGAATTTATCATTGCACCATATAAGTAAGTACCTCAAGTAGCTCTGGTGTAAATTTTGGTAAAAATCTGATTAATTGTACCAAAATTCACAAACTTACACCAAGTTATACACCAGTGTGCTACTTGAGACGTCTATACCCTGCAGGGAGTGACGTTAGCTTATACCTAACTTTAGTTTGTTTACGCGAACACTAGTGCTAACTATTAACTGTGTATTTTGTTCGAAAAAAGCTAACTACTTTTGTGGGGCGATGGCCGCAAAAAAGTCAGACCTGGATACCTCTGCATTTTATGTCAACTAACTTGTAACTAACTACTTTTGGACATAAAATATCAATAAGAAAAACAAAATATTTTTTTTGTTTTTTTACTTTTTTATTTACTTATTTATTTACTTTATTTTATTACATTTCATATTTGTTTACATATTCTGCTCTGGGTGGCCCCATATTCGAACACCGTCAGACATAACTTCAAAATGATAGTATAAAATTTCGATCTTCCTTTTATTTGTCCTGAATATGAAAAAGAATCTGCGAAGTTCAGAAAAGAAGTGTATTGAAAGTAATTTTTGTATGAGGATATTTAATAGAAACTTGTAAAGAAAACCAACTCCCGATTGCGTCTGCATGACTCCTGCACGACTTTACAATTCACTTTAAGTTGGTTTTGTCATAGCTAATTAAAAGTGAGGTATTAATCGAAATCTCGCCAAAAAGCTAACTATAAGTTGGTTAGTTTTAACAATTGATAATTTTTCAATGCAGGGTATATTTCCATACTGTCACACAGCATTTTATTAAACAGTTTAATTAAAAAAAAAAATGTTTAAGGACTTGTTACTAATGAGTTACTAAAATAAAAACCTTAAAAACCATTTTAGGTGCAAAATCAGTTGAAGTTTTTCTAATTTTTTTCTAAGAAGCTTATTTCACGAAAATATAAAAAACAAATAAATCATTTAAACTTCATTAGCAATTACTAGACATTGGTAATTATTTTGTTATATTATTAAATATTATAGTAAATACAGCATATCAAAGAAAGTATCGTCTTAGTTGAACGACCAAAAACGACCCAGTGTAAATGACAAATTCAACCATAAAATGTAAATGCTTTGGGTAGTCAATTTTCCAGTCGTCCGAAAACGACCCGTATAAATAGGCGTGCGGATTATCCTAGTGCTCTAGAAATGAAAAAAGTCTTCGGGTCAAAGTAACCGGTTGAGACCAATTGTAATTGATAGCATACACAGAAATACATTTACAGTTAATTTTAACCAAGTTTTTACTGACGCCTTCTTGTCGAAAAAAGCAAAAAAATAAATGGTGATAGAACCTTCCTGGCTTAAATTAAAGCCAGAACTCTCGACTTCTATCTCTGAAAATACCATTCCTGCACCTTGGCTTGATGGTCACTTAGTCATTTGTTCTTTACTTTTATTTGTTTTTATTTTATTTTAGAAAAAATTAGAACCAAGTTGAATAAAATTGTTTAACGTTTATTATAGGCTTCAAAAAGAAGTGCCATTTACATTGGTTATTGTGGTACAACAACTGTACATTGAATTCTTGTACAAATATATATCTTTCTCATGCTTCCAGAAGACTATAAAAATAATAAAATATGACAAAATTATTAGCACCAATAGTTAAAATAGCGAAAATACAAATAAGCCACAATACTCGGTAGTGTAATTTTTTAGTTTTATACGTGTAAAAAAATAAATAATAAGCATTCAAAATCTAAAAAATAGATTTTTAGAACAAAAACGTGTAATGTGCAAATACAGGACTAGACATAAAACGTAAGTTTCATAAAGTGCCCGCAATACTTTCACCGAAAGGGGTGAAAATCCAATGCATACTATAATATCATATATGTATATATATAAGACAATATTTGACTGCAATATTTTTATATATTAATTGGTTTCCATTCACAGGATTCATTTGTGCTTCAATCGCTATTTTAAATGACTCTCGCTTTTTTTTTTAAATAGGTGGTACCCATTAGCCGCTTAATCCATAATACCATTCGTTCCCCTAATTTCAAGGAAAACAATGTTGTCACCATTAAGCTATTACAATAAAAAGTTTTGCGGCTATCTTGAAATTTGTTTTTGTTATTTATGGCCTTTTAACAATTATACTCAAAAATTTTGATTGAGCTTGAGGCCCTTTCTAATGAAAAAATGTTGTGGAAAAGAATAATAATTTACCCATAGGTAGAATTTATAACTACTATCATCACATCTCTTCACCAGACTTCTTCACCGCGGTCACTGGGTCACCATTAGAAACGGCCTCAAACCCAATAAAAATTGTTGAGATCTCGAAATATTTTTTACCATTATCATCTTAAACTAAATGATGGTAAATTTTTATGTAGATTTCCCTCCCACAGGGGGGGAGGGATTAAACCCCTAAAATCACTGGATTCAAAGCTTAGCGATGTTGTGCATTTTCCTCCATATAAAGTACTATGCTCGACCATACTCAAAATTTCTTTTTATACGGAAGAAAATGCTTAGCAGAGTCAGCAAAAAAAAATATATTAAAAATTAACGCGATTTTCTAGCGTCTTAAAATTTGCACTTTATTCTACTAAAATTTAATGGCCTACAAAACTGCATACTAAACATTTTTTCAAAAAGATCTGATTAAAAGTTTGAGATATTTGAGAGATTTTGGTAAAATTTTTTGATTTTTTATAATTTTTGTAGAAAGTGTGAAATGTAGATTTATGTTACGCGTGTTATATAATGCACTAGTCTTTTATAAAAAAATATTAAACATCGAATAAACAAAAGTAATATAGCCAAAACTGGTCAAAATAAAAAGTTTATATCATTTATTCCACCACTGTATGTAGTTAGGTAGATATATATGTAAGTTAAGTTTATAATAAAGAGCTTGTATAAGTCCTATAACACTGATAAATTTATGAATTTCAACATTTTAGTTAATATTACATCCAAAATTACTTGCACAATTGCTATGTGAATATATTTGTCATTTAGGGGGAGCGCCCGCCTGTGGCCGTCATCATAATATTGTTATAACTTTGAAACTACTTGGTATTTAAACCTAAAACCTTCCTTAGATATTTGTCCATAATGCTGCATTAAAGCAACAACAAAGATTCAAACTTTATAATACAACTTCTGCATTTGAAAAAACTGTCTCCATAATTTGTTTAAAAATCCGCCATTTTGTTTTTGATAAGTTTTGAGAACTGCAGTTAAGCTCAGTTTCTTTAGAATAGTATCTAGTTTAGTGTGTAAAAATTTCAAATCAATCGATAATAAAACTTCTGAGATATAGCGAGTTCAAGTTAAAATTTCGCTTTTCGACATGAAGGCATCAGTAGAAAATTGGTTAAAATTGACTGTAAATGCATTTCTGTGCAAGCTAACAACTACAATTGGTCTCAACCGGTTACTTTCACCCGAACACCTCTCGAAATTTTTTGGGCATAATCCACACGCCTAAAAGGCAGCTAAAGCAAACTAACCGGCTAACAATAATAAAAAAAAAATTCTTGGTGGTTTGTTAGATCGTAGATATCAAG